CATTTTTAACGTTTCATTTTGAATGTAACATTTTTAGTCATTTTATCTTTTCTTCTGAACTTTGCCACACTTCCTTTTGGCACCAACTCACTTAACACTTGCTTTTTATGGTCTATATAGCCATGTTTAGGCCACAGGCGAGCTGGTTCTTAGGCTCTGCCTGGACTTTAACCAACCAGGTATAAAACCTTAGTCACATGAGTAAGCTCTCAGGGACTTGTTTTCCTCATTTTTGTAAACATAAAAAAGGAAAAGAAAGTAAGGACAGAGAGGTTGGAGGAGATGATTTCTATGGTCTGTTCCAGTTCCAAATATTCTGACTTTTTAATTAATTATCCACTTTCCAGATAAAAGAGGTGGGGAATATTATTCAGCCTTAAAAGGAATGAAATTTTCTGGCATATGCCTCAATATGCATGAACCTTGGAAATATTATCCTAATTATAAGAAGAAGTGAAGTGAAGTCGCTCAGTCATGTCTGACTTTTTGCGACCCCATGGACTGTAGCCTACCAGGATCCTCAGTCCATGGGATTCTCCAGGCAAGAATACTGGAGTGGGTTGCCATTTCCTTCTCCAGGAGATCTTCCAGACCCAGGGATCGAAGCCGGGTCTCCCTCATTGTAGGCAGACGTTTTACCATCTGAGCTACCAGGGAAGCCCAATTATAAGGAGCCAGGCTTAAAAAAACAAGTATTGTATGATTCCATTTATATGAGGGACCCAGAATAGTTAAATTCATAGAGACAGAAAGTAGAATGGTGGTTACCAGGGCTGGGAGAAGCTGGCAATGGGGAGTTATTGTTTAATGGATCCAGAGTTTCAATTTGGGATGATAGGAAAGTTCTGGAGATGGATAGTGATGATGGTTGTATAACAGTGGAAATGTACTTAATGCAAAAGAAATGCACACTTGAAATTGGTTAAAATGGTAATTTTATGTTATATGTATTTAACTATGATTTTTAAAGAGTAAAACACAAAATTACAAGTTAAAAAAAACATACATTCCAAAAGCTTTTGATGTTTATCATCAACCTAACAAGGAAGGGCATAATAAACATTGTTGGTTGAATGAAAAAAAAATAGGTTGGGGAGAAGTCATGAAAATTAAGTTGAAAAAGAGCATTAGGCTCTTTGCCTTGTATTTGATTTTACACTGAATCACACCGTGTTGTGTGGCATACAGGATCTTAATTCCCCAACCAGAGATTGAACTCATACCCCCTGCACTGGGAGCAAGGAGTCTTAACCACTGGACTGCCAGGAAAGTGCCCATACTGGTTTTTATACTTAAATTGTGTTTCTGGGTTACAGTGGTTTGGGTTAGTGAACCTTATGAAGAAGGCCTAAGCCCCTGACCCCAATTCTAATTGTTCTCTAATAGGTTTTAAATTCCTGAGAGCAGGACACACAATTTTTTCATCTCCTCATGATACACAGTGGGAATTCTGTGATTTAACTGACTGATATCATTCCTGATATCAATGTCATGTTTATTGAGATAAACATGTTTAAAAGGATTTTATTGCACTAAGATTAATCTGTAAGGGTTTATTCATTATGTAAATTTTAGGATTATAACTGTGAGGAAACATGATTCAAAGGAGTTCTTAACACAACATTTTAGAAGATGGTTATTATTTATTTCTGCAGTGATAAATTACATGACCTAAAGTATATTCTCTGAATATTATAGCAAGAAAGCAAAGATCACAGATCACATTATGTGTCATTTCGGCAGACTGGGTTTCTGGCAGCCTATATCTTATCATTATACTTCCATTTTGTAGAGGTGAATGTTTATTTTTAACAGATATTTAAGGAACAGAAAGAAATAGCACCTTTTACTTGAAAAGGTCGAAGTACTAAAAAGATATAAAAGGTTCATTAAAGCCACTTCAATACATTAATATACTAAATGCGCTTGCATTCTTATTAATCCTGAAACCACAGGTAATTGTCTAAGCTGGTTAATATTTATCTTCTTGATCTCATTTTTCCATTTCTATTTCCCTCATTTTTTGCTATTCATGGAAGCTTACAGTCAGCCATATTTTAAAAACAGATCTTTCATGATTCCCAGATCAAACTGAGATTATATGGGATTATATGTCATTCTGGCAAACTCCAAGGAGTTAACTAGAGGAGTTTTCTAGAACTTGGGAGATAAGATGCTATTTTTGTAACTATTGATAATTTAAAAATTTTAAGTACATTAGGATTACCTTAACCATATTAAATAACAGTTTCCTTTAGTCATTTGAATTTAATCCTTTGCTATTTATTACAGCTCTCATTACTATCAAGGGAAACCTACCATCATCACTCTGTAAAGAAAAGGACAAATTTAAGTATCTATTGATAAAGTTAGCAAATACTTACATTAATTTAAACTTGGATAATTAAGAGATTTTAAATACTGAGTTAATTAAAATGAAAACAAGAAAGCAAGGAACCCTTTTCCACATTTCAAAAAGAAAAAAAAAAGACTTAGTGCAAAAGGAAGAGAGAGAAAGAAACGAATACTTTCCATGTGGTAATTCATCTGAATGAATTCTTTTATAGATAATTAACATTTTACTTTGTCAATTTGTTTTTATATATAATTAACCACATTTTATGCCCAAGTTTTTTTTTTTTAATCTTTTTTTAGATGATGTTGGGTCATTTTAATAAAAGTTATAAAACAGTTACTAAAATTTGCATGCTGGTTTTGCCTGATTAGGAACACAAAAGCAGTAACAAATAAGGCTGTTATATGAAAGAGAAATGATGGGGTACAATGTTTTGCTGTGGATTACTTTCACAGTAACCTGCACTAAATATCCATTAATAAAATGCTCTTATAACATTAAAGAACTTGAATTAAGATTGCGTATCACAAAAAAGAGACTGAATATGTAAAAATCTTTGCTAAATTCAATCACCTTGGAAGGCTTGACTAAAAGTGATATAAAAGTTTCAGATTTCCTCAATGTGTGACATTATCACATTAGCAAAACCACAGCTTCCATTTATGTCCATGTTATCTTCAGGAATGCTAAGAGATTATATCAGCAACAGTTATTGCCCATCTGTGATTTCCAATCTTGCCTTTTTTGTTTGTTTTGGTTTGCCCTTTTAAATTTTTATCATTTTGACCTATTTTAAGTATCTTCTTTCCCTTAGGAATTTTGATTCAGGAAATCCCAGGTGGCAAACTGGAAGTCTTTTAAAACCAATGCTATCCTCCCTTCCTCTCAGGTGCCCTCTAGTCCCCAGGTAATTTTAAAAATTAGACAAGTTTGGGGACTACAACTCACCAATCATGAGAGATGAGAAACAAAGTACCCTCAGTTCTCCCTTTATTTCTAAACTCCAAATCAAACAAAAACATCAATCTAGAGAGTTTCATTTGCTTCATTAATTCAAGCAATTAATTATGCTTAAGCAATTAATGCTTAAGCAATTTAAGATTCAAAATACTTTAACAAGGACATTTATTGAGGACACATATCTAGAAAAATTTCATATATATAGCATCCTCACACTTAATAAATGAAGACACATGGTTTTATTAATCACTTTATAGAACACCATTATCTCAGGCAATTTGTCTACAAAATGAAATGGATTAAGACATACTCTAATTGGTATTAGAGACAGAAATAAAAGCAGAAATAAACATATAATGAATACTGTATAGTTTTTGTTTAACAGGCCTTATATTTCAAATTAGACATGATCTTTTTTTTTCAGAACTACCACAAGTATAGCTGTAATTTAAATCTATAATGAGACATTTCACATTAAAGAGTATGAGTCCAAGCTGCAATTTCCAACCAAGTGGTGATTTAGTCCAAAAGCTTGAAAAGAAATGGTAGCTTATTCTATGAAAAAATAAATTGTAACTTTGTGCATTTTACGTAATCTTCTTCATGACTATGACTAAGAACTAAGTTCAAGAGTAGTTTAAAAATCCACAAGAGCTTAAAAGTAGATTCTAAGAATACAAACAAATATCTGCCTCGAAAAAACGAACTCTTCTATTACCTTTCTCCCCTAATATTCCCTATTTTAAAAGGTAAAAAAATTAGGTCACTTAGCTAAGTCATCAGTCAATAGTGGTTCGGTAGATTATTTTCATCATTAAACTATTATCAGGCTAAGTAGGCCTGATCCTTATCAACTTCTTTGGTTTTTAAAGCTAGGAGTCACAGGAAAAAAGTTTAAAAAAGGTTTTATTCAACATGTGGGATGCACTCAAGAGATCTATCCACATAGCCTTAACCCACTGTTCTGTGTAAGTGAACGCATTCACACAGCGGGCAAACCTCTGCTTATTCAACGCTTAAAGTAGCTTTAAAACAGAAAATCCCCCCAATACTCTAATCATTTCTATGTATTCTTCATGAATGTAATAAATAATCTAGGGTGTTTTTTTTTTTCATGCTCTTTGTGTCTTAACAAGATACTTAAATCGGCCAAACCCATGTTAACTATTTCGCCCTCTACTCCGGTCACACCAAATAACTATGCACATCTCACAAAACCGCCTTTCAAAATGCAGGGGATTAAAAGCAAGAAGGCAAAGACTTCTAAATATAGTCCCTTCATGTTTATTTTACCCTCATCTTAGGTCACTAGCTGCAGCCAACAGCGATGGACACTTGGAAGCATCTCTCAAAGCAAAACGAAGGGGCGCTTGACAGCTCCGCCATCTACCTGTTGAATCCGGGCCACTGCGCTCGGCTACAGTCAGATCAGCTTCTACGACTTAAAAATGCTCATGATCGAATTAAAAAAAAAAAAAAGTTGTCTGCCAGTCTTTCTTCCTTCCGTCTATTTCTTTCGGGCAGTTTCTGCGGAACCGAGGGAGGACTCGCGAGCTCCTCCGCCCGGCTGGTAGCAGCAGCGAGCGGGCCGGGCCGGGCCGGGCGGCGGGCTCGCTGCAGCGGACAGAGGTCATCACAGGCCGGGCGGAGAGGCAAGGCGCCCTCCCAGCCCAGATTTACTCACCTACCGTGCGGAGAGGCGATGGCTGCGTGCTGTTCGCCCAGCCGGGAGCCCCAGATCCGAGCAGGAAGGGAGGTTGCGGCGCCGGGGCGAGGGGCGCGTAAAGAGGAAAACGTATTACCTAAGCCGGGATGCGGAGCCCAGAAGGAGGCTGCAGCCTTTCCCTCCAGAAACGGAAGAGGCGGGGGAGGAGGAGGCGGAAAATGCGGAGGAGGAGGTGGCCGGGTGTGCGAGACTAGCGAGGGGCGCCGGGCGTCCGGCCGCCGGCGCGGCTCCAGGGCGCCGGGCTGGGAGCGCGGCGGTGGTCGTCTGAAAGCCAGGCGCGGCCGGGCGGCGCGCGGCCTCGCTCGGCCGGGGATCGCAGACCGCAGCATCCGCCAAGCCGCCGCCCCCTCGCGTCCCCCGGGACCGCGGCGTGGAAAGGAGCGGTGACGCCTCGAGGCTCCCGGGGCGAAGCGGGCATCCCACGCCTGCCTGCCCGAGTCTGCAGCGTCACAAGCGGAGCGTGATGATTCAGAGGGAGGGAAGTGCCAGCAAGAGAAGGGCTCCAGGGTCACCTAATCCACTGCTATTGTTTTGTTCTTGCGATCGCCCACAAATTCGGTTTTAGTATCTTCCTCCTCCATTCTTCCGTCCTCTTTTTTTTGGTGAGGATTATGGGTTTAACGAACGGGTTGGCAGCTGTGAAGATGGACTTCCTGCGAGTGACAATAGGGTCTCATTGTTCTACTAGAAATGTCAAGCGTGCGGGCTGTTCCGCAAACCCTTGCAGCCTCTTCTGGGCTCTTGACTTACAAGGTGTGGGCCTAAGGCCACCTTGACCGGAAGCACACCGTGGGTAGGAAACTCTTCTCTCTTAAAACGCTTTAAACTATGGGATTCAGCATAGTTTAAGGATGGTTTCGAATGGTGGGTGGAGATTGGAATGAGTGGTGACTGGGAGAAGGGTAGACATTTTTAAAGGGCTACAGAGTTTTGATTAGAAGGAGTCTGGCCTGCGGCCCAGCAGGCTGGATGTGGTTAGTGAGCACGCTGGGCCTTCTAAAGCCCTTCACACATCCTGTCACTTCATGGCACACCTAAGAAATGATCTCGTCTGCAGGACCCCAAATAGCAAACAGGAGGCTGCTCATGTAGGAGGCACTGGGCCCTTCCACCTTGGAGACCACTGTCTATATACTCATTCCTTGGCATGAAATTACAGTGCTCTGTTTAGTGTTCTAGCAACCAGGTTTTCTGATCTCCATTTCTTTTTTCCCCAAACCTCCTGACTTGTTAAGACCTGGTCCTCAGAGCAGTGGGGAACCACCAAGACAGGGGCCCGGAGTAATGCTGACCTTGTCAGAGTCCAGGAAATGATGCTTAAAAGGTTAGTCTCCCAGACAACACATCTTTCTGCTCCCAGCCTGCTTCTGTGATGTCTGACTGAGACAACTTCTCCTCCTTCCCACCCCTTTTCACCCCAACTCCATCACTGGGCTTTCACTCACTAGCAAGTCCAGCTGATTCATTCTTGTCTCTCCAGATTCATTTTTTAGATCCATCCCCCTAGGGCTCGTTAGGTCCATTTCCTTTGTTATTGTTATTTATCATTATCGTTATCTAGTCCCATTTCTATCTATGATGGAAAAAAGTCAAATAGTTTGAACATGATATTTGGAAGTAAAGAAGCGAATACCAGAATAGTGAGAGCAAAGAATTTGCCCTGAGGGAGGAGGAACTGGGGGAGTGAAGGGTGGAGCAGGATGTTTTTGTGACAAAGCTGTGTTCATCTACAACTGAATCTACTCCACTTGCCACTTCGCTGCCACAGAGCTCACCCTACATCCCACGTCTCAGTGGGTTGCTTGCTTAAAAACCTTCATTGGCTCCCACTTCCTCAGTTGGTCGTATGGAGAGCAAGCTTCTAGGCAAAGCTTCTCTACCCCTCCAATCTGTCAACCCTGCCCCCCTCACACTTGACACCCCGTTTTACCACACCACATCTAGTTTCCTAAATGCATAAATTTGTTTCATTCCTTTGTGCCTTTATACATGTTACTAATTTTGCCTGGAGTATTCTCTGCTGCTGTGATAATAGCTAATGACACGAGCTAAGTGCTTTTGTCTTTTATAGCTATTCATTCCTATATCAATCCTATGGTAGGATTACTGTTAATCTCAATTTAATAAACAACAAAACTGTGACTTAGAGAAGTTAAGCAATTTACTCAACTATGTAGCATGCATGTGCGGTAAATCGCTTCAGTCATGTCCAACTCTTTGGGACCCTATGGACTGTCTGTCCATGGGATTCACCAGGCAAGAATACTGGAGTGGGTTGCCATGCCGTCTTCCATGGGATCTTCTCAATCCAGGGACTGAACCCAAGTCTCATGTCTCCTGCCTTGGCAAGCAGGTTCTTTACCATTAGACCTACCTGGGAAGTCCAGAGTGGTGAGACCACATTTGAACTCAGCAGTATGACTCCAGGACTCACATTATTTTACCTGTTCATACTTTTAAAAAATTCTGACACTATGTTTGAGCAGGATTAAGGTTTTTTTTAAAAATCTTTAAAGTGAAAAGAAAAAAATCTTAAAAGGTGCGAAGAGAAAATATAAGTGAATTGCTTTTCACCTCAAAGTAAGTGTGAAAGGATAAAATTACAAAGGAAAGTGACAGATCTGACTATGGAATTTTTAACTTCTTTCATCAAAGAAACCCATAAGTTAAAAGTAAAAATCACTCCAAAATATACAATATAGGGACTTCCCCAGTGGTCCAGTGGTTGAGTCTTCACCTTCCATGCAGAGGCTGTGGGTTCCATCCCTGGTTGAGGAGCTAAGATCCCACATACCTTGTGGCCAAAAACCCAAAACATAAAACAGAAGCAGCAAGCAGGACTTCCCGTAGTCCAGTGGTTAATACTCCACGCTTCCACTGCAGCAGGCATAGGTTCAATCCCTAGTCAGAGAATTTCACATGCCATGTGGTGTGGCCCAAAAAAAAAAAAACCCAGGAGCAATATTGCAACAAATTCAATAAAAACTTAAAAAATGGTCTACATTAAAAAATATTTTTAAAATGTGCATTATATGTGAAAGATGAAAGTAACATCCTCATTTAATAAGATCTTTAAAATATAAATATCTTGTTTTTAAAAATGGGCAAAATATAAATTAGTTAAATCATGAAAGTCAAATGCAAATGGCCAAAGTATTTTTAAGAGAAGTGAAAATGTAGAATTATAACGAACCTTCAAGAGAATAAGGGAATAGAGCTAATGATCCGGGCCACCGACCCTTGAGACAGGATGTGTAGCAAATAAACAAGCTCACTGCTGAGAAAAGCATAACTTACCTCAGTGTTTTTGGAGGGCAGTTTTGCAGAATGCAGTAAAAGCCTCAAAAATGTTCACACCCTTGGACTCAAATATTACATTTCTGGGAATTCATAATGCAGGGATTGACAAATATTTTCTATAAAAATCCAGGCAGTAAATACTTTAGGCTTCGCAGGCCACATACGTCTCTCCAGCTTTTCTTCTTTGCCTGTGTGCTTTTTTTTTTTAACGCTGCAAAAATATGAAAGCCATTAGCTTGAATGTTGTAGAAAAACTGGTTGTGGCCTGAAATTGGCCCGAGGTCAGTAATGCGTGCAAAGAGTTGACTGCAAGAAAGTTCATCATGGTGAATTCGGTAGTAGTCAAAAAGAGAAAGCAACTAAATGCCTGAGGATAGAAATTCATTCCAACCAAGTGTGAAACAAGTTTTTTAAAAGTTTTTAAATGTTTAAAAAATTTTCAGAATGATATTTGTTGCATGATATAGTATTCATGGTTTGTTAAATGGAAAAATACAGTTTACCAAAGATTATCTATATTATCCAAAATACAACATAATTATGTGTATGGCAGTGGTGGTTTAGTTGCTAAATCGTGTCCAATTTTTGCAACTCCATAGAAGCCCACTAGGTTCCTCTGTCCATGGGATTCTCCAGGCAAGAATATGGGAGTGGATTGCCATTTCCTTCTCCAGAGGATCTTCCTGATCCACGGATGGAACCTGGGTCTCCTGCACTGCAGGCAAGATTCTTTTCTGACTGAGCTACAGGGAAGCCCAATTATGTGTATATATGCATAGAAAAAGAACTGGAAAAATATAAGATGTCGATATTATAAGATGTTGATATAATGTAAGATGTTGATAGTGGTCTTGGGGTGGGGGTGAGATTGTAGATAGCTGGGGCTTTTTGTTGTATGTATATGCTTCCAATAGTGAATATGTAATTGGTTTTGAAATAAGTAAAAATAGAAACTTTGCCTGGGTAGCAATAAGGCCTTTAGTTGTCAGTTTCAGAAAATCTTCCCTAAATTCACTTTTCGTCTCTCCGTGTACTCCCTGAATACACAATGATCTTTTGAGTACCATTATTTATTTGACTGGAGAATGGTCAGTACCTTTATTTAGCTATGCATTGCACTGTTATTGGACATGTGTGTTCCCAGTAACATACTATTGTAAGTATGCTGGTTATTTCCTACTTGCTGTCTGCCAGATCCAGTTTCCTTCCTTCTCTGCCGGACTCTGTCCTCAAAAGGCAGAATTTTCAGAGACTATTTTCTTTGGGCTCTCTTGCCAGCTGGCTTCCTCTGAGAATTGGCCAGTGGGTGAACCAACAGTAGATTGAAAGCGAAAGTTGTTCAGTCTTTGCGACCCCATGGACTACACAGTCCATGGAATTCTCCAGGCCAGAATACTGGAGTGGGTAGCCTTTCCCTTCTCCAGGGGATCTTCCCAACCCAGGGATAGCAACCAGGTCTCCCTCATACAGGCGGATTCTCTACCAGCTGAGCCACAAGGGAAGCCCAAGAATACTGAAGTGGGTAGCCTATCCCTTCTCCAGTGGATCTTCCCAACCCATGAATCAAACCAGGGTCTCCTATATTGCAGGCAGATTCTTTACCAACTGAGCAATCAGGGAAGCCCGACAGTAGATTGGAGAGTAGCAAAAGGAAAAAGGAGGAAGGTTGGGGGATTTCTTCCCCCACCTTTTTTTGTGTGTGTGATGTTTTGGGTCTCTAAGTTTCCTGCAAGGCAGCTCCTCAGTTCAATTCAGTTCAGTCGCTCAGTCGTGTCCAACTCTTTTCGACCTCATGAATCGCAGCATGCCAGGCCTCCCTGTCCATCACCAACCCCAGAGTTTACTCAAACTCATGCCCATCGAGTCGGTGATGCCATCCAGCAATCTCATCCTCTGTCGTCCCCTTATCCTCCTGCCCCCAATCCCTCCCAGCATCAGGGTCTTCTCCAATGAGTCAACTCTTCACATGAGGTGGCCAAAGTACTGGAGTTTTAGCTTCAGCATCAGTCCTTTCAATGAACGCCCAGGA